AAAAAAATCACCAGTACTTTTCCCACTTATCTTGGTTGATGGTTAAGAGTGGGATGGTTAATGGTTGGTAAACGACGACCTATGTTCATTATATATTTTTTCTTTAATGGGTATATCTATTTCTATTTAATGGGTATATCTATTTTCTTTAATGTTCATTATATAATATATATTCTTAATATGTATATGTTCTTCTATCCTCATTTTTGTGCTTTAAACGCCATGTATTTTTGGACATCCTCTCCCTTCAAAACTCGGGAAGTGGGGTGGAAATTAGTGGATCAAAACCAAAAGTCACCAGACTGATATAAGGCGATTTTGGGGATAGTAGCTATACCTACTATATATACACTATATATATATATAAATTCTTTATATATATATATATATATATTTAATATTTATACAATATAATATCTTAAAATATACTATAATATAAATTAAAATAATATAATCTACAAAATATGTATCGAATATATATTTGTAATGTATATTGAAAAATGTATTTGTTATGCAACAATTATTTTATATTATTGTATATATATATTGTATATCATATATATCATATTATATTGTATATATATTACTATATATTACAAAAATTATATATATATATTATAAAATTATATGTATTTTATAAATTAAATGTATTATATATATATTATGTAATTTACAATATATACATATATATATAAATATATTATATATATATTACATACAATAAATAATAATATATATATATATGATATCTATTATATATATTATAAAAAATATATATTTGTAATATAATATATATAATATATATAATTGTAATATATATAATCAAAAAATATATATGTAATTACATATATAATATTATATATTAAATATATATATATGTATATTATTTTATTATATATATAATATATTATTTATATATTATATATATTATGTATATTATAAATAATATATATAATATATAAAATATATACAATATATAAAATACAATATATAACTCATATAATATATATAATATACTTAAAATAATATACATAATATATATTATATACATAATATGTATAATATATATAATATATATTAAATTATATATATAATATGTTTATAATTTTGTATACACTGCAGATATATACACTCTATATATGCTGCATATATCTCTCTAGCTATAGCTCATAGATGATCACCAACCCTCAAACCCATCCCACGGGGGAGTTCGGGGATGGCCCTTACCCCTATATACCCTTAATTACCCTTCTATACCCCTGGACCTGTAGACCTATATCCATTGGGGGAGGTGGGGGGGGGGCCAGGGAGGGCTGGCTCATCTATGTATGTATATATATATGTACATGTACAATTTTATAAACTAGGACCATTTCACATATAACTGAAGTATTATGTGGCTCTTACCCCCCCAACTGCCCAACTATCCCAGTTTCAGTTCCGGCGTTGCTCTGCATAGGGCACGGCCTAAGGCACTCACGCCCAGGTCCGTCAAGCCGTTGGCGTCCAGGTCTAGCCATTCCAAACGTGGCGTCCTAGCATGGATGGTTGGAAGGTAGGCGAAGCATAGCAAGGTACAAGGCACCTTTCACAGTGAACCTATTTAAAAAGGTACCTTACTATGGAAGTTATATATATATATATGTGGGCTATATATATATATGTGGGTTTAATTAGTTAAGGTAAAACATATAGGAATTTATGGTTGACTATGCAAGTTTACCGTGTACCAAGGTTAAAACTAGTACAATTCTACCAATTTATTGTACCTTTCTTATAGTTAATCTATTTAACCGTATCTTACCATCGCAGTTGTATATGGAATATAATACATATATATATATATATAGTCGGTTCTAGTCAGGTGTAAAGGATTGAATGATGGCTATGTCATTTATAAAATGGGGTAGGCAAACCACTGGATAGGGATAAAAAAGGGATATTTCATGGTGGTAAATGGGGATAGGATGGAATGTATTGCCAGGTGGTGCCCCAGATCCTGAGCTAAATTGGTAGAAGAACTAGATTTGCTGGGTAAAAATGGTGGTGAAATAACGTTAAATGGGTGATAGACCAACAAACAACGTTTCATAATTAGAGGGCTGCACCTTGTAGGAAAGTCAACAATAGAGGATATCAACCGGACATACTTGGCAATGTATAATGTATATGTATGTACTGTATGTATATATATATAATATAAACCAGAATATGTGTAAGGTGAAGGCTTGGCAGTTTGTAAGGAGAAGGAATGGTTGCCATTGACTGGCAGTGGAGGAAGTGGTGAAAATATCATGTTTATGATCTATGAACACAAGACCTCAAAATATTATCGGATTTGTTAAATAGTGGATTTTTTTGTCTCGGGGGTCAAATTCTTGATGTCATCTTAGGATCTTGGAATCGACCTTGCAAGGCTGTTCCAAGCGTTTTCTTCAGAGGTCTTCCAACCTCCCTCTTGACATCAACAGCCTTCAGGATGTGGATAGGTCAAAACCCTGGTGCCCCTTAGTTTCACATATAGGAATCCCAAAAAGGATGGGAATGGAATTTTCCACCAGGATTTTATACTTTTTCTGAATCGTTTCGCGAGTTGCTTTCCTCAATGGATTGGTTTAAGGGAAACATTTGACCGGAAACACCCATATTTCATAGGAAAATCGATGGTTTCCGGTTAAGATTATCCCTTAAGCCAATCCATTGATTTACAGTTGCTTTACAGTTGAATCGACTACGAAGAGCTTTCGATGTTTCGACCCAGCTCCTCCGGAGTCCAACGGCCAACGCTTGCAGACCCACGTCTCCCACAGAGTTCTCGCTCAGCGACAGCCATTCCAAAGCCTTGATATGGTGGACATCTCAACAACATTCACCAAAAAGATTGTTTTTTCATATGTCCACCAACAAAGGGTTAAACCACATGTCCACAAGATCAATCCAAATACTATAATATAGAACTCTATATATATATATATTATATAAATATTATTATAGTTATATATATATATATTATACATATATATATATATGAGTCTGTCCAAAGATGTTTTTCCATTCGATGGCCATGGAAACTGCGGGGATGGCAGGTCTAGACCATGTCTGTTTTTTTTTTCCTGGGGGGTTACCCTCTGGTATTTCAACATACCTATAGAACACGTAATAACAGGTATCATTTTTAAGAGGTAAAACATCTATAAAAAATGGGCCATTCTTCATAGCTATGTAACAACCGGGGCAGCCAGGCAATCGCAAGTAACAGGGCCATGACCACTATGCAAAGCGCGTGCCAAAGCCAAAGCACCTCGATGGGCTCCCAGAACTGGAGCTTTACTTCGCTAGGAAATCATCGAAACATCAGTTGGCCCCAAAAAATGGCGGGATAACCGATGTAACCTATAGCAAAATTAGAAAAATAGACAGAAATAACTTAAGTCACCTTCAGAAAATCTAGGCAGGTCAGTCAACCTGAAAAAATGGTGGTAAATTTCTTGGTGGTGAAAAATGGCCCAATAGTCCTAGTGACATTCCATTGTTGGTAGGCTGAACCCCCACAGTTGCTGCTGAGTAATTAATACCAGTAGTACCGCACAAGGCGGTGGCGGAAGTTTCAAAAATAGGAAACCTATAGGAGAAGTTGGTTGTTGTGAATCAGGGATGGCAGAGCAAAGCCACTGATTGACCGAAAGGTGGTTGGAGTTGTGTTTGCTGGAATGGTTGCAATGGTTGCAGTGGTCACCTCACCCACAACTGCTGGATGTAGTGTGATGTACTGCAACTGTAGTTGTAGTTGTAGCGTAGTGGAGTTGTAGCTGTGGTGTAATGTAATTAGTGTAGTGTAGTTGCAGTCATATGGTTGTAGCTGTAGTTGTTTTGTAGTTGTAGTTGTAGTTGTTGTAGTTGTAGTTGTTGTGTGGTTGTAGTTGTTGTGTAGTGTAGTAGTAGTAGTAGTAGTAGTAGTAGTAGTTGTTGTTGTTGTTGTTGTTGTAGTTGTTGTAGTTGTAGTTGTAGTTGTTGCTGTTGTTGTAGTTGTAGTTGTAGTTGTTGTTGTTGTTGTAGTAGTAGCTGTAGTTGTTGTAGTTGTAGTTGTAGTTCTAGTTGTAGTTGTTGTGTAGTTGTAGTTGTAGTTGTAGTTGTAGTTGTGGTTGTTGTAGTTGTTGTTGTTGTTGCTGTTGCTGTTGCTGTTGTTGTTGTTGTTGTTGTTGCTGTTGTTGTTGTAGCTGTTGTAGTTGTAGTTGTAGTTCTAGTTGTAGTTGTAGTTGTTGTGTAGTTGTTGTAGTTGTTGTAGTTGTTGTAGTTGTTGTTGTTGTTGTTGTTGTTGTTGTTGTTGTTGTTGCTGCTGTTGCTGTTGCTGTTGTCGTCGAAGTTAGGGTAGTTAAGTTAGTGAAGTTAGTTAAGTTAGTCAAGTTAGTTAGGTTAATCAGTGTCTACTTTTTCGACATCTTCACGTCAAAAAAGGCTCAAAACCCTCAGTTTTTTACACTTTTGACTTCGAAATGTGCTTCGCGCCACAACCGCGTGCACTTTTTCGACACTTTTTCGACATCCGAACCTCCAAAAGTGGTCCGAGACCGTCAGTTTTTAACACTTTTGACTTCAAAATGTGCTTCGCGCCACAACGGCGTGCACTTTTTCGACATCCGAACCTCCAAAAGTGGTCCGAGACCGTCAGTTTTCAACACTTTTGACTTCAACATGTGCTTCGCGCCACAACCGCGTGCACTTTTTCAACATCCGAACCTCCAAAAGTGGTCCGAGACCGTCAGTTTTTAACACTTTTGACTTCAAAATGTGCTTCGCGCCACAACGGCGTGCACTTTTTCGACATCACAACTTCCAAAAGTGGTCCGACCATGGTGTGCTTTGCACATTTTGACTTCAAAATGTGCTTCGCGCCACAACGGCGTGCACTTTTTCGACATCTCAACTTCCAAAAGTGGTCCGCTCCTCCAGTGTTTTGTCCATTTTGACTTGGAAATGTGCTTCGCGCCACAACGGCGTGCACTTTTTCATGTCTCATCTGGCCAGCTGGCTCCGCACCCGCCGCTTTAGCGAGCCTACTTTTCGACCCTCCGGAGCCACAAATCATTGGAAAAAACACAGTGCTTCGCGACTTTCCTATCTTTTCGCGCATCTACCTCTTCTTTCTTCTGATCTTTTCTCTTCTCTCTGCCTCTTCCCTGCTCTGCGTTTCAACTGTCCATATTGTCGGAAGTTTAGCTTCTAAACTTCCTTCGACTATCAACACCCACATATATATATATATATGTAAATATAATCAATCAGGATCAATTGAGTAAATTGAGTTAGATCTATCTATATGGTTGGGGGAATTGCCTCCATTTTTTTTAAAATCCCAAAGGTGCCATGGTTTTATTGTTTTTAGAGTCCCACACAACACACAACATGACTGACATAATTCTGTGTTCTCGGGTTCCTAACATGTTGAACGAATGGATTGGTATTGTATGCCTAGATCTATGGCGAAAAATAAGACTATTGACCTACCCGGTAGCCAACTACCATAGTCACTGTCAATGTGAAACATCGCAAAAAATATCCCAAGGTCTCGGTGTTTTTGATCAACGCTCACTGGAGTTGACCCATAGTTCCCCATATTCAACATGAATTCACTGTGTTGAAAACCATGACAAAGCCCCAGATCTACCCCCAAGGTCTCCCGAGCCTTGGGTGCCAAGCAGGTTGCGCGACAAATGCAGATCCTGGCGGGCGTGTTTTTTTGCCACCAGAACCAGATTTTGCGAACATGCAGATTTTTTCTAAAATTGGCATTCGAAAATGTTGAGTCTTTAACATCATGGAATAAAAATTTGAGGTGTAAAATTTGCCATTCCACAATTTTAGGATCTGGAAAGATCGACTCAATGAGGTTGGAAGTCGTGTTTGTTTTGGAGTCATCGACTCGGAGTTGATCTCCTATGTTAGCATTTCCAACACACGCGATACCTTTTTTTGCCAGGAAAAAACAATTTAAAAAGTAAAAAAAAAATGTGAAAATAACATAATTTAGCCGCCGATTTCCAGCCCTCGTGGTTATTGTTTGCCTAGAATGGGTTGGAGCAACCCCAAACTTCGTAGCAAAAATGATGACAAACCATCAAATTTGGCAGGGACCTCCATATATAATGTTCCGACAAACATGCAGTTCTTAACATGGTTGGCTAAAAAATCATTCTATCCTCACATTTGTTTGGTCTTAAACCACCATCAAGCCAACATCGGCTGTATCCTATTTGAACAGTCCCCATTAAATATCCCCATGTATTTTGGTTAAGTCCTCACCAAATCATTGAGTCCTATTAAATCACCATATTTCGCTGATTATAACCAATTAATTCTCATTATTTATGATTCTATCAAATAGTTGGTTAGATTCCATTAAATCATGAACAACCACCATTAAACCACCATTTTGACAACCATTCTACCATTAAAACACCATTCAATCTTATAAAACCACCATGAATTTCAATTCAAATCACCATTCAATTCCCATAAAACCACCGTTTTTCACGGTTAAACCACCATTTTTCACCATGTTCTCCTGGTTTTCCACTAGGTTTTACCCACCATGCGCCACGGCCACCTGCAGCTGCCTCAGCTGGGGCATCGCTTGCGCCACGGCCTGCGCCCCAGCGACGCCGATGCCGTTGCCCGCCAGCACAAGCTGCTCCAACCTGGAAAACCATCGGGCACAGTGCTAAAGAGTTATAGAACATACCAATCTATATATATATATATATATATGTATATACATGTATATAGAGAGAGAGGGAAAGAAAGAAAGAGTATTAGTTATAGATCTTGTACATTGTGTATAGACATGTATAACTGTGGAATTAGAGATTTTGATATATACATATATATATATATGTATTGCAAAAATATAGATATATTTATGTAGAAAAGACTGCATTCCAGAATTGGAGGGTATGAACAAAAATTACCAAAGAATTATAAATAATCTATTTGTAGATAACATAGATGTTTACCAATCATCTAATGAAGATAGTGTAGATGTGTACTAATTTACAAAAACCTTACGGATCCAGCCGTTTCCACTCAGGAAGTATTTGGATCCAGAGGGATTCATATAGATAACTTTAGATGTATATCATGTATATATAAATGTTACTTGCAAATAGATTTTAAATCCCATATGTAGGTATACCTACAATAGATAAAAACATTTAGAAACAAAACTACAATATGTGAGGACAATTAAGGAACTTTGTTTCGATGTCTATCAATTATATACCCTAAAGGACAAATTACTCTTTCTACCTACCAGGGCCAGGGCAGTAATAATCCAAAATTGACCCGAAGAAAGTTGAAGGAAGCTCATCTTGATGTATGACGGCCTGACGATGAAGATATTTTTTAAAAGAAATTAAAAATGTTAAATAATTCTACTTGAAGGCTCATGTGGGTTAATAACTAGATAGGTTATATACTACGTAGTTACCTATAAGTACTATATATCTAGTTAGCTCACTTAGCTATATCAAACTTAGCGGACTTAGTATCTGAGCTAAGTATGGGTATACTTGTAAGTTAAAGCTATAATCCCAACAGGCCCCATGCCCTGCAGCCAGTCACCAGCCGCCAGCTCCACAGCACCTGCGCGTGGGCAGATACTCTGGGTGATACAGGTTTAAACAAATGAAGGGTGCATTGCTGAGTAATTTCTCTGGGTGTGCATCTGATTTTCCCCTATTAGTTTGGAAATACCATGTTGGATTATACACGAATGATTGTTTACAGCCAAATTATTAGATCTCGCTTACAGGGCCAATAGTGCTCGTGAGCAGGGACATCACCTTGGATATATCATGAAAATCACCATGCTATTTTTACAAACATGATACTTGTTCGTAATATGGATAGACATGAACCGCGCTCACAGGGCACACAGTGCTCGTGAGCGGCATTGTCATTTTTCAAGCTATACATACAGCATTGGACAACAGAACTCAAAAGGATCACCGCTGGATCATGTTGAACTTTGAACATGGTGCAATGCACTCGTTGCCAAGGACACAAGACAGTCATCAATGTGGATCCATGTCTCATGTGGTACATCACCCGACCCACTGAAGACGACCCATCATACTGAAGATACTCCACAACATCATCCTTATGCACAACATGGCCTCCAGGGCCTTGAGCACGAATGGATGTGAAACAATCAGAGCTTCCCAAAAACTCACTGAGCCAATCTATCTTGCCTTTGCCAACTTTCTTGTCCTTGCAGGGCGACATGCCAAGAACAACAGCCTCTTCACCAGGTTCACCTACTTGAACATGAATGATCATCGCTGAGGATGGATTTTTCAAAGCTCTGAGTGAAATTACTAACTGGGTTTCCAAATCTCTTGACGAGACGGTGTCATGGGCAAAGCATGATAGCAACGTCCTGACGCCTGAGAAACTCGCTAAGATGAAGTGACATAGGTCACTTCGGGACCCAAAACTCATCCCCGTTGACAACCACAAAGCTGTCAAGATAGCCCTTGATGACAGCATGGAGATCAGTGGGCGCGCATGTTCCGCCACGATTAAGTGCACTGAGATGATCAAGTACTTCGCACAATTTCAGAGCAGTCTTGCAAGCTGGCCGCGCTTGTGGATGCTGTTCCCAGACAAACTGCACAATGAAAACCCTGATGATCCGGTATGCACTCAACATCACATCTCAGAAGCTGAGCATTTCAAGGGCTCAATGCTGCTATCTCTCTTGCCAAAGATCTTGTTAGGCGTCGAAACCTGAAATTGCTTGGGCCACTCAAAAGAAGCCAGAATAGTTTCCAGGCGACCACTGAGCCCAACCTGCACCAGAGCTCCAAAAAGAAGCGCAAACTCACGATTCGCAATCCCATGCACCAGAAAGATGTGGAACCAATCGAACATGATACACTCAGGAATGATCCGACCATACCCCCTGGGTTTTTCAGCAGGCCTGAAGGTTTCCAGTTGGAGGCTGGGTGTCAAGTTTGGAGAACTGCTGACTGGACATCCTCTCATGTTGTTCCTCCAAGTACTTGACGACCTTCTGCACAGATTCATTGGCGTGAAGCCTGAACTGAGAAACATCCGTGCATGCCCCATGCACAACCAACATTTTTTATAGATCGATAAGAAAAAGCGTTAAATCAAATCAACATTGTTTTAAAACAAATGTCATGCAAGTTTATAGATGATACGCTTGTTTGATACATGTTTTTACTTCATCAAACCCTAGCCATCCCTCATCCAGAGGTGACTGGCCTTTGGGACGTCATATGCATCTGTCTACTCAGCCTTCTGCCTCTTCCTCATACTCCATGACATTGCCTTCATGTGCCCGCAGCACCGCCTCCGACAAGTTCCGGATCGATGTCCATTGGAGCGCCTGAGCACGTGTTTTGAGCAATTGGATACATGTGGACATTGCCCATCAGGGCAAACATGTCCTGACCCCTCCCCTCCAGAGCATTGACACCATCACCGCCACGCCCCGGACGTCGTGCCCTTGTCCTGCCCATACCGGGCCTAAGCCATATTCACGAGTCATGCATGTCATGCCAACATGGTTCAACGGCACAAGGCTTCAAGACTAAGACAATGCCAGTGCTTGGGAAGCCCGACTCATGCAAGACTCCTTGCGCACTGACGTAAGACGTAGTGCCCTTCCACATACATTCCACCCCCCCTGTCTGTCTTGGGGGGAACCCTGGCCAGGCCTGAGAAACACTGGCTCATGATACTTGCAGTCATGCATACAGCACATTCAAAGATTGAGTTGCGTACAAGCCGGTACGCCCATCCATTGACGATGTGTGGCCACAACCTCATGACCAGTGAAACATGTGTTCATGGCCAAATCTTTCAAATTGTATACTCCAAGTAGGCAACGCACAAATGTTCAGGAATTGAGGTTGGTGCTGGCATGTGTGCCACCAGCCCTTGTCCGGCCTGATTTCATATATCTAAGTGACAACTTTAGACATCATGATGTTTCGATTAGACCCCTTGTGTAACTTGTCATTTAGTTATCAACACTTGGAGGTCTGAGCATTAGGGTGGCCATGTTGCAACATCATCGCTTGTTCACCATGATGTACCATCATCGCTTGGGCCTGCAGGCATTGCAAATGTGCATTATAAAAAAAAAAATATATATATATATATATAAACTCTTCAAAGTTAAACCCTTTTAGGTATTTTGGGGCTTTCACCAATTTGAGGAAAACGCACATATATAATATAATATGTATAGATATAGGTATATTCGAAGTTTGTTTAGAAGTCAAACTTCCGACATTATGGACAGATGAAAAAGCAGAAGTGGGAAGAGTCAGAGAGGAGAAAAAGCAGAGGTGGGAAGAGTCAGAGAGGAGAAGAGCAGAAGAGAGAAGATCAGAGAAGAGAAAGAGTGAGAAGAAGAAGATACAGGTGCGCGAAAAGATAGGAAAGTCGCGAATCACTGTGTTTTTCCAATGATTTGTGGCTCCGGGGGGTCGAAAAGTAGGCTCGCTAAAGCGGCGGGTGCGGAGCCATCTGGCCAGATGAGAGATTAAAAGTTGCACGCAATTGTGGCGCGAAGCACATTTGCAAATCAAAATGCGCAAAAAAAACACCATGCTCGGAGCACTTTTTGAAGTTGAGATGTCGAAAAATTGCACGCCCATGTCGGAGCACTTTTGGAAGTTGTGATGTCGACAAAGTGCACACCGTTGTGGCGCGAAGCACATTTCCAAGTCAAAATGTGCAAGGCACTCCATTCTCGGACGACTTTTGGAAGTTGGCAAGTCGAGAAAGTGCACGCCGTTGTGGCGCGAAGCACGTTTCCAAGTCAAAAGTGTTAAAAACGGAAAGTCTCGGATGACTTTTGGCCGTTCAGATGTCGTTTCGCGTGGCTTGCCAAAAGTGTGCAAAACGTGAGGGTTTTGTCGCAGTGTCAACTACAACCACCACTGCACCACACTACACTACACTCCACTCCACTACACTACAACAACAACAACAACAGCAACAACAACAACTACTACTACAACAACTACAACTACAACAACAACAACTACTATTACAACTACTACTACTACTACTGCTACTACTACTACTACTACAACAACTACAACTACAACTACACTGCACTAATTACATTACACTACACTACACTACACTCCACTCCGCTCCACTCCACTCCACTACACTAACTACAACTACAACTACAACACTACACTTCACTAATTACAATCTACACTACACTACACTCCACTTCACTACACTCCACTTCACTACACTACACTAACTACAACTACAACTGCAGCTGCAACTGCAACTACAACTAACTACAACTACCTACAACTACCTACAACTAACTACAACTACGGCTACACTACATTACACAACACTACACTACATTACACTCCATTACACTACACTACGCTAATTACACTACACTACACTACACTACACCAGACCACACCAGACCACACTAACTACAACTACTGCTACATCTATAACTACGCTACTTTACACTTTACACTACACTACACTAGACTCACTACACTACATTACACTACACTCGTTACACCACCACAAATGCAATTGCAACTACACTACACTAATTACACTACACCACAACTACAACTCCACTACACTACAACTACAGCTGCACTACACCACACCACATCCAGCAGTTGTGGGTGAGGTGACCGACCAGGTGAGCGCTGCAACCATTGTAGCCCCCCCAAAAAACACAACTCCAACCACCTTTCAGTCCATCAGTGGATTTGCTCTGCCATCCTTGATTCACAACAACCAAGCTCCCCTATAGGTTTCCTATTCTGACTTCCGCCACTGCCTTGCGCGGTACTACTGGTATCGGCCCCAGACAGTGGCTGTCGCACATGTGATCATCCTGCCAATGTGACACAATGATTGCTTTGGAATGAAAAGAGACATCATGAGGTCGTGCCTGCGGTGGTGGGGGAGGTAGGACTGGTGCTGCCATTGGCACTGATGAGTTTTGAGAGGGAGGTGGCAATGGTGGCCGAGGAGGTTCAGGCTGACTCTCCTGCAACCGAAAGGGTTTGTTCAACTGCTTTGCAAAAGGGTATCTTCAATGAAGAACCTCTTAACTTCAACAGACTGTATATAACTAATTGACCTTGTTCAGGGCAGCATTTGCAGCGGCCTGCATGAGAAAATACAAAGCATGAAACTACTCCTGGAAAATTCCACTTGGAGGCCAGCTACAAAGGTTACATATAACAAACTTTTACACATCACACTTAGAGGCAACTGTTCGTGTACATGAAATACTGGGGGCCTGCTTGTGCGGCGGCAGAATCACTTGGCCCTTAGGCTTGCTGTCGGGCTCCACTGCCTCACAGAATCCACATAAATATTACATGGATTTGTATACAGTATATGAACCTGTTTCCTGCCTTGGGTGTTGGATTCATGATGATCCATGCTGATAAAGATGGCTCTTGCCAACCAGGTGGTGGGTGGCTCGGCTCCCGAATGAAAGTCTAAAATTGTTTCGTGAATGAAAATCTCAAGTTGCTTCATGAATGAAAGTCTCAATTTCTTTCATGAATGAACGTCGCAATTTGTTTCATGAACTGTCTACATGACTTGATGCATGAAATCATCACCCAGTGAAGCCAGTCTCCTTCGGTCTGCTGTCCTTCACACTGATATCCTTGCTCTTCCGTCCCAAGGCCTTTGTCATGTGCCTGCCATGGTCAACACACTTTGAAACTATGTACAGTATATTATCGAAGGAAGTTTGGAAGTCAAACTTCCGACAATATGGACAGATGGAAAAGCAGAGGTGGGAAGAGTCAGAGAGGAGAAGAGCAGAAGAGACAAGATCTGAGAAGAGAAAGTGTGAGAAGAATGAAGATGCAGGTGCGCGAAAAGATAGGAAAGTCGCGAATCACTGTGTTTTTCCAATGATTTGTGGCTCCGGAGGGTCGAAAAGTAGGCTCGCTAAAGCGGCGGGTGCGGACCCATCTGGCACACGTGCCTGGCCGACGCTTTGGCCCGATGACAAGGGGTTTAAGTATATGCTTGTTTCTTGCAATACAGAAGTTAAAAAAGAAATGCTCCTAAGTCGACTAACTGAGTTAGACAACTTAGAGTTTAAAAGATGTTAGCTATACTACTACATATAATAACTCAACTATTCAGTTACAACACATCCACATATTATCTAAACAAAATCAGTTAGTAAGTTGGTCAAATCAAATATGCCACATAGATCACTTATAAACCATATAGGCAAGATATAACCCTACTTAAAACCAGTCTTAGCACAAATAGTAACTGCCATATCTGGGCTATCCATTTACCAGGGTGGACCTTCAAGAAATAAAGACAAGATGTATTTGGATAATCACGTTTTTCATACTCTGCTTGATGTCTGGTTGGTGGTTTCAACCATCTTGAAAAATATTAGTCAATGGGAAGGATTATCCCATATATTATGGAAAATAAAAAATGTTCCAAACCACCAATCAGATGTATTTTTATTTACATAAATATTATGTAATCACCATTAAGTACCATTAAATCACCATACAACCCCATTAAATCACCATGATACAACTACACATAGCTATGCAAATCTCAAGGTCAAGGATTCACCATTGCATGTATGAGATCGTTTCACCGGGAAAAATGATTGTAAAATCTGGCTGATCTACAAATGACATCTGTACATAAGATCACATAAGTATAGCATAATAAAAATAAAGGGGCTACTAATCACTTACTCATTGGGATGCACCTTTAAAGCAGGCACCCCTCCTTGATGTAGGCCACTATCCGTTTCGAAACGGTGTGATTTTCTCTCAGGGGGTAGTAAACATGGATCTGAAGTGTTACCATCCACGTGCTTAACATCGATTAAGCACGTATCCCACAACAAAAAGTACCAGCTGGGTTGCTCCCACACACCAGATACACAGGGGATTTGGGTGGTAAATAAAGACACATCATGGAAGAGATGCAATCACCCATTTCCTCCCCGTGTGGGCATCATTGACCTACAATGGGTTGGAACAACCCTGACTTGACTAGGCTTCATGAACGGTCAATACAAAGAACATATCCCCCTTTACCATCACCCCACTAGATCCTGGGGGTTAGTTTCTAATCCAGCCACAAAAGAGCCACGCCCAGCAACGACGGAGTGCTTTGCAGTGCCTCTGCCAATGCTGCCTCATCAAATGATCCAGGCCATGAGCCAGGCCATGCCCCCGAGTTTCCGTGTTTCAAGCAGTGCCAAAGATAAACAAATGGCATCAACTGGGACCTAGGACGTTTATCTACAGCATGTAATTACCCAGGTTTGGATATTTTGGAGCCAGTCAAACGAGATTTTGCCATGGCTTAAAAGGCCAAGTTTAACCAAACGAGACTTCACATGGTCAACCCAGTTGGGTCTGCCGTCCCAACCACAACGCGGCGTTCATACCAAGACTCGGCCCCGGGCGCACGGATGGCATTTTCTGGTAGGTTCAACACCTGAAAGTGACTGACCTAGCGATCTCCGTGAAGCCACCCCCATAAAAAATATCAAAGTCAGTTGGGATCATTAATCCCATCACCCTAATATTAAACACCCCAATTGCATGGTCCCAAATATGTGGAAAATCCCAACAAAAAACAATGGTTTCGTTTAGGGGGTGTTTTTTTAAGGGGGTGGGAAGGGATTATCCCATGTCTAGGGTTGAACGCCATGGTTGATTGCCGAAGGGTACAAAGTGGGTCCCCTAGACAGAAAAAGTTATCACGGACTCCTACAGATAAGACATATGATCACTTGCTTTATGTTCACCCATCCAACAGCAAAAACATATCCACTGTAAACCCATGCGTTAGACAAGGACCCTGCCCTCCCAAAACATCATATCTGACACGCAAAAACCAATATGGACCACTAGACCACTTGCTCGAAGACTGATATTGAAATGGGTCACACATTCTGCCTATGCTATGGGGGGATGAAGGTCCATTGACCAGTTATCTTCTTATATTCATGTCCACTACAAAACCTTTGATCCATGCCCAGCCCTGCCTTGAGATTTGGCAGCTTTGGCAGCGACTGAGCCAATGCCAACGCTCCTGTGATTTTCATGGCGAAAATGATGCGACAAATTTGATGATGATCAACACTTTGGGGGGATTACTATATCTTGGCGACCAATGCAACACCGTACCTATCTTTTGCCGGCGCACATTGTGGCATTGAATATATATCCTGTGAGAGAACCCCTTTAAAATGCATCTGATTCTAGATGGCAATCTCAGACATATCGTGTTTCAACATGGAAACTTCCCTTACTTGCTCAATATTTCTACGTCTGCTGATTATACAATCAGATACTGTATTTACAGTAGCATCTTTACAAAGCGCCAGGTAACCCCACTTTTACCATCTAATTCAAGCTACAGTATTTACCACTTTTTTTAGGATTATGGCCCTTTACCACTCATAAGTACTTATAACCTTATAACCCCATTTTTAACATGTATAATCCCATTTACAACCAGTTAAAACAAAAAAATGGCCATAACTGAAGGACTATGTCACCCCAAGCCACCGTTCTTATCATTCTTGACTGGTTGGAACTCCCCAATCACTGGCCTGGCGTTCCCAGGTTATTGTGCGCCAAGTACAGCCGTTCCAGCAACCGATGGTGGCCTTGCCTCGGGATCGGGAGTGCAGCCATTTCTGGGGCCAAAAGTCCCATCGTTGACCATCATTTCACATACGAAAATCATGACACATTTCATTTTGATTGGCAACTGTCATGGGTATAACGGAAAAAAAAACATGATATACCGAGTTTTCGTGATCTCGGGCAATGATCTCCTGGAAGCCATGGGCCGCGCCAGTTTTATTGTGGCGATGATGATGATGATGATGATGATGATGATGATGATGATGATGATGATGATGATGACTGGTTGGTGGTGCAATAACCATCTTGAAAAGTATGAGTTCGTCAATGGGAAGGATTCTCCATTCGTATTATGGAAAATAAAATTCATGTTTGAAACCACCAACCAGATGATGGTGATGATGATGATGACGACGACGACGACGATGATGATGATGATGATGATGGTGATAATGATGATAATGATGATAATGATGATAATGATGATAATGATGATTATGATGGTGATGAATATGATTATCATCATATGCCATTATCAAACATGATATGATATGATCACTGTCATGATTCAATATTCTGAACATGGCCATACGATTGCAAGAATCATTGTCTCACTCACCATTCAACTGGTTTTCTCTGAAAATACGATACACCCCTAGGTCATTATCTTCCAAATTAAGTTGGCCACAACTGGAGGTCAAAAACCATCCATTTTCAGGTTCCCAGTCATTCATTCCCCAGCTCCACCAGGGGACATGAAGACTTTGCAAAGATCTTCAAAGCGTCGATCACCTGGGTGCGAGTCAACGGGGGGATTGGGGAAACCCGACACGTTTTTGGGCCGTTGTAGAAACGGTTAAGGGATCACTTAGAGCACCGGAAAGTGGATCACTTAGAGCACCGGATCACTTAGAGCACCATGGGATCACTTAGAGCACCAAAAAAGTGGATCACTTAGAGCACCAGAGAATGAAACCTTTAGGGTAACACTTGGGGGGGACATGGAGTGGGTTTAGGGGACGCTTGGGGACACTTGGGGGGGACATGGGGTGGGTTTAGGGAGAATGAGGCCTTTACGGTAACACTTGGGGACACTTGGGGGCACATGGGGTGGGTTTAGGGGACACTTGGGGACACTTGGGGGGGACATGGGGTGGGTTTAGGGGATACTTGGGGACACTTGGGGGGGACATGGGGTGGGTTACATTAGAGAGCAGGGAATGAGACCTTTAGGTGTACACCATTCTGGACTTTTTTATTATTAGGCAACTCATCCATCTGAGAATTTCCTGCTATTTCTTCGAGCATATCTTATTCACACTTATTCAAACTAAAACTACGTCAGAGCATCTGAAACACGACATTAGTGCGACTTTCTTGTCCACGTTGAGGTCGTTGAACACGCATTTCCTGCTACGTTGTAACATCTTGGTCAAGTAACTTTCAAGACGTTCCTGATACGTTGTCATATCTTCTTCCAGTAACTTGCAAGACGTTCCTGATACGTTGTAACATCTTCTTCAAGTAACTTGCAAGACGTTCCTGCTAAATTGCAACATCTTCTTCAAGTAACGTGCCAGATGTTCCTGACACGTTGTAAACTCTTCTTCAAGTAACTTGCAAGACGTGCCTGACACATTGTATGATGCTCTTTCGGCGCCGAAAAGCAGATCGCATGGAATGTTATCGCGTGCTTCGGAGACATATGAATGCATCCATTTATGTGTCTATATGCCTCTGCGCATGTATGGAATCCAGCGCTATGTCTCTCTTATGTCACTTTTCGGCGCTCCAAGCGATCCACTTTTCGGCACTCTAAGCGATCCACTTTTCGGCGCCCCAAGCGAACCCCCGACCTGTAGAAACGTATGTTCCAATATTATGTGATTTTGGAGAATCCTCATGTTGACGATTCTAAACCATGATTCGAGATCAATGCTTTTCTCAATTCCCAATTGAAACAATTGTGCGTCACATCATCATGAGTCCCTGGTAGAAACACGGCAGCTTCCTGCAAGGCAGTTGGTCTTTCTGAGCTGCGTTTCCTGGCCATCCCAGGTTTTCCCCAAGTGTTTGATCCCCAGTTTTTCAGCCCCTTGGTTTTGAAACTGTCAGGAGATGTCAGGATCTTAAAAATGAGTCCAACATCCTCTTCCACCTCCCACATTTTTCCACTGGCTGGTGGTATACCTACCCCTCTGAAAAATATGAAAGTCAGTTGGGATTATTATTCCCAACTGAATGGAAAAATAATATTCACGTTCCAAACCACCAACCAGTTCCATGTTTTTCCCCTTCAACCTCCCCCTCCGGCCCTCCGGCCCCCCTCGGGTGGCCATCAAGGAACCCAGCTGCAGGGATGACAGGTGCAGTTCCATCAGTTTTGGCAGCTGCTGCAGGGCACGCGGCAAGTCCTGACGCGGCACGGCTTGATAGACACGTCATGCTTGGTTCCACCTTAGTCGCTGCAAGGTATATGACATATGATGAATATGTTCCTTATATATGTGTTATATTGTGTTCCTTGTTTATGTTTTAATTGAAACGATACACTTAACAATGATCAATTGCTATCCTTTAAACATGGCTTGAAGATGTTAACAGATTTTGATATATTTTGGTGATCCCCACATCATCCACATTCATCCAAAGCAAACTTGAGTTACTGGTAATGCTTGGAAATAGTGGATAATGGTTATTGAACCACTATTGACCATAGTGACTTGTAATATTTTACTTTATAGACTATCGTAAGCCATACTTGTTTAAATGATAGTTAAATGATGCTGGCAGTTTCTCGTAAAGGTATTTTCCATGACATTTGTGATAGTTATCCTCGGGTAATCGAACGTACTTATGGAACATTTTTTTAGGACGGTAAATCATCATAAATCATTGAACTAAACGGGCTATGGCATGGCTTCCATGGCTTTATATCTGTTAAATAACCAGAGGGTAACGTGGCAATGGAACATACTCCATTTAGAGATGAGCTTCCCATTACAAACATCATTTATGGGGAATTGACAATTGCCATGTTTGATTACCGGAAGGTAACTTGAATTAACCATGGCCTATAAATATACGTATTATTGTGTAAATCTATTGGTAATTTTACCATTTATGATATTTCACCACTATTCACCACTATTCACCACTATTAACCATGCCTTTTCCACCAATCCATCCACGTGATGGAATGTATCGTATCCACATTTCACCGATTTGCATCACCGTGAAACATGAAAATCAAGTAAACCACAGAACAAACCTAAATAATCATCAACTATTGTAGAAATATATATGATCTAATTAGATAGCTTCATGAACCATCTTCTCCTATTGATATATAGAAGAACACATTCCGTTTTGGAAACACATAGCAATTTATATATGAATACTACATATAGCTACAAGGATGCTACAGGGTGGGGCCCGCTAAGTTGACGCACATAACTTGCTTAGGCTAAACATCGGGGATATAACTATAGTCAATGGGTTTCAATACCAACTTGTAACTTATAACTGGGGGGCCTCACCTTATATGATAATCAAGTTTGAATGCAATGTCGGGATCAAAACTATACATCAAGTGTTCGTATTGAAAAGAGCCTCAACTATACCTGGTTGGTGGTTTTAACCATCTTGAAAAATATGAAAGTCAATGGGAAGGATTATCCCATATATTATGGAAAATAAAAAATGTTTGAAACCACCGACCAGATACTGTATGATAATCCAATATTGGTCTCTTGTTTGTCGTTGAACCATCCTTTCCCGCGGCGTTTTTGTCGTTGTACCGTCGTACCTCCACAGGAAGCCTCGCTGCATCCTTCGCTTGGAGGCGAGTGCCTGGGCCAGGGTGCATCTCGCGATCCGAAATTAAAAAACAAAAATGGATTTCAATATACTAGGGAACTAGCAGATAGAATATTCAAAAAACACTGGACAACAGATAGAATTCTATTTGCTTGTTACCTAGTATACGAAAAAAACAAAAATACATGGGAATCTAAATCTGTATCATCAATAAATTGGAACGTTGGAAAAAATCTAGCACAGATTGCATATCTTGCCTGAAAGCTGGTTAGCCCTATTTTGACGGATTTGAACATCGTTCCCAATTAAGACCGTTATTTTGAGGTATATCCAATTTGTGGAAAAAGGATATGGTACAGTAAGCAGCAAGAAAGACTGGCAAGTATGTTGGAATAATGATCATGAAATCTATGGAATTGTATCCAACAACAACACCATGATTAAGCAGAATAATATGGATTTTATATGGATTTTACTTTGCTAAGAAGCTTAGTCCGCCTAAATGACAATGCCTCCTAAACGGGATTGTTCACCAGTGTCAACCCCCAGTAGGGGCAAACGCGAAATCCGTATGGGTTGGCATGACAACTGTTTGACAGAACCGTTACTAAGCCAGTGATGATGCGGATATCACTGATATCACTGACACAGCAGGTGACATAGCCATTGGAAAAGCGAGTGAAATTGTGCCTAATCTTGGAATCGGCATAGGCACCACGTGCTGCATTTGGCAGGTCAAATAGAGTACCCTCTGGTAAACTAGCAGTTTGCCAAGGAAAATAACAATTGCTTCTAGGTATATCATCGCCCTAATTGTCCATATATGTTAGTTACTGGATGGTAAATATAGAAGGAGCCTGATGAGTTTTTTGTTTTCTGGAGACATGGCCCATCAAAAGTTGGCGCCTGCAGCACCCAAGTTCCTGACAAATCTAAACATCCTATTGGAAAATTATGTTCAAATCGCAAATCAATTGGAATTCATGACGTGAGCACTAAACCGGCATTGGAAGTTGGAAGATGACATTCCTTTCAATATGGCTCATTGGAGCCAACCATATTTCAATGGCAATCAAGTTTGTCAACAGGGATTGGACATGTAAACTACTCTCTTAGAGCTGCACAAGCTGTTCAGGCAGACAAATGACCGATGTCAGGGCAGCTGAATGATTTACTTCCTCTCTTCCACTTTTTCAGTGGATCAATTTTCCTGGTGATTCTGAAGGTGCTGTATGAAGAAAGTTACACTCCCACCATTGGAGAAGGGGCTCAAGCCACTCTTGGAATGGCAACCACTTTGCAACAAGCTGAGGGCTTTTACCATTTACTTTTATCCAACAAGTTTGGAAACGAACCAAAATCTAATCTTTGTTGCATACATCACCACGTTACATCACCATAGATTTTCATAGATTTCCATGGATTTCCATATGGGTTTCCTCCTTCCACCCCGATTTTGCGCCCAAGGCACAGCTTGCATCCGCCCAGCCGGACGCGCCGTGAACGCTGCTCCGCCAAACACAGTCCAGCGCCGCCGCAAAGGGAAGCAGCGCGGCGCAGCGGATCATGTCATGGCGGCGGTTTCAATGGCTGCTTTTTGGGGCGAAACTCTATGAATGAAAATGGTTTATATATGTGGTATAGAATATGTGGTATATTTATTCTATGAATTTATGTGGTAGAAAATGCTTTATATATGTGGATATAGAATTTGAACTCATTCATGGTGCGAATCTCACCAGAAAATATGGAATTCATATGGATTTCTGTGGGATATACCACAGAGTACCTTCATTTTTAGGTCCTAAAATTCCCACTGAGACTTCTCTGGATTTTTCGGTTGGTCATGCTTTCTGATTAACCCCAATGTTGTCATACAAAAATACAAACAAATATGGAAACAATGGCCAATCTGCTGGGTTTTTGCTGGGCCAGGAGGAAGACATTGTCACTGTTGGATAAGATATACAAACCACACTTTGGTAAAAAGCTGGCTCGGTTGGCATCTCCAATTTGCAGCAAAAAAATAAGTACCAAAGAACGCATCCCAGGTGTAGAGAAATGCCGATAAAAAGTGTAATGTCGCAAGATTTGGGTTGTAGTTTTCTTCATGTCTGTCAAGAGCATCTAGACGAATTCAAGAAATGGCTCGCCCACAAACATGGTGATTCGACCAAGATGGGGCTCGAATTTTTGGGATGTCACCAAGGCGTGGAATGGTGGGACACACTCGTTTGGCTATTTGAAAACCACATAAGACCACCCAAAGGTGCCTAGCTCTCTGGATTCCTTGTCTTTCCAACTGAGCAGCAAAACCGTGGATTGTTTTACTCCCCAAGAAGCCTGGGAAAGCAAACCATGTAACCAGCAAGAGAAAAAGACGTCTTTGCAGCTAAAAAGAAACACATTCATGTACTTGTCTTCCCTTGCCATCTCAATAAATAGGTTTGATCAAATCACTTGAAACACGTCTTCTCATTTTAAGGTTAACATCCAAATCTCACACTTTACCCTCAAAACTCTTTCACAATCAACCCGCAATTCAACATCTTCAAAACAAATCTACATAAAGAAAAACACGTCTCAAATATGTTCAAATGTTTCATCTTAAACAATCTTCAGATCTTCAAGGGTGGTGGTGGTCTACAAGTAGGATACCTTTTTTTTGAGAGTTCTATAATGATTTGCCCTATTCTTGGATTTGCTTTAGGAACTCTAAAACCATCTTGAAAAATGTGAAAGTCAATGGGAAGGATTATCCCATATATTATGGAAAATAAAACATGTTTGAAACCACCAAGCAGATGAACCTAATTATTGACAACATTGTGATTTTCCAGGTGATTTCCAGTTTGCAAAGTGTTTCGGTACACCCAAAATGGAGGTCTACCCCCATGGCTCCCGCCTCAACCCCACTGCGCAGCTCATGCCGTCCATGGGCGAAGGGACAGTAGAAGCCGCGGCAGCCGACGCCACACATGGAGACCTGACACTGGAGACGGTGCCCCGAAAGTCTCAGGAGAAAAATGGTGATTTCAGCAGCAAAAAACATTGGGGATATGGATTGATGCTTGATTTATGATGCAAAAAAGTCGGCTGGAAAACTTATAACATCTTATAACTATGCAAACTATAGGGTTTATGGTGATAAATATATTGGACTTTTAACGGACGAATTGAGACTTCTGTGGGGCATGCCTTGCAGAGATGAAGAGCTGTGAAATCCAGTGGAAAATGGCTTGAAATCAGGCACAAATGGGACATTGTTACGGAATCTAAAACCAGTGTAGAAAATTTGGAAAGCAAGTCGGCTGAACTGAACATCAAAATTTGTTCAAAGTAGAACCTGAGAATAGATGAAAATAGTCCATTGTCAGATGAATGTAATCTTCTGGGGTGTCAGTTGGAGCTTTGAGAGTCGCTGGATTCTCTGGAACATGGCGGGTTGGAACATGGAATCATAGACATCCTGCAAAACAATGTGTGTTTTGTTTGTTAGTACATATCGTATAGAATATACATATATTTATATATATATATATTGCTAAGTACATATATAGAAAACAATATTGGTCAGGGATACAATTTATATACATATATCGCTATGGATCCATGCCCACTGTCTGAGCAGGTACAAGACACCCCCTAAATCATACCCCAAACACTTCCCAAGAAGGTACTTGGACCCATAGGGCATATATATATTATTACATTATATATATTGTAGATATTATATATATATATATATTATTGTAGATATTATATATATACATATATATATATGTATTAACTATATGTATAGTATTTTTATCAAGGGAGATTTTAAAGTGTTCAAGTATCTATTGAAGCATCCATTCAAGGACGAGAAGGAATCCCAGCACACGGACCTTACCGTTTTGGTCATTCATTTCCAGTAGGACATTCAATGCCACCAGAAAAGAACATATACTTAGATGGGCCATGGAGTTAGTTAACTAGTTAGTAAATGGATTATCAGTGGGATATAGGGGGTTATATCCCCAGTTACTATGGCCCATCTAAGTAACCTATAGCTAACATGTTCTGTCATCATTCACCTGAAAATTGCGGCTGGTAAATCCAATGCCATAAACCTACAGGATGGGTGGTAAACCACCCCTTTGTGGTGACTTGGGGGATGGTTCATGGCAAAAAGGACGAATCCCACAGCCGCCCATCGGCTCCTTGTAAGTCAAGGGATGGTACAGAACTTCCTGCGTGCGAAAAAAAAAAAGCAAAGCTGCACGATTTTTTTTTGGGCGAAAAAAAGTTGACCAGCCCGTTATTGACCACACTTTCTGAAAAGCAAATGTGCAACCGATTCTCATCCATTTTCATCCACATTTGGGTGGGGAATCATATGGAACCATTGTGCCAGGCTTTGGAGACAAGCTGCGTCAACAGCTTTGGCAATGCCACCCTGCAACACCTAAAAACCCAGCTGAGGCCCAGTTACAGTAGCAAATAAAAAACCTGCTCCGCCAAGTGTGAATATTTAAAAAGTAATTGCAAATGGCCTCGGCTAGACATGCACAAATCAATCAAGTAGCTTTGCATCACTTCGGGAAGCCACCAATATATAATGGTTTCTTACCCTGTCGTCACTGTCCTCACGTGATGGTGATGTTTCTGCACTATTTGATGGTCCCGAAGGCTCCAGAAAAATCACGGAAATCAAAGTGTGACACCCCAAAGGTACCCTCACCTGATCAATAACCCCCATTCAGAAAGTGTGATGTTGGATATGTTGGTACCTTCAAAACTTCCGTATAGATTCAAACACTTCCGAATGGGAGGTACTTGGATAGATAGGGCTTGAAAAATAGAGCTTCGTAAAGTCCTACAAGGCCTTCAAGGTGCGCCGCAAGAATTGGTTGTATAGTAGACCCCACAAAAACATACAAAAACTAGTTCAATATATTATGTAATATATATATATATATATATATCATTATATAAGATTATATATCATAAATCCAATGGTCAACCTACTCACTTCAACCAACGAACGAGCGATTCCAAACTGGTCAATTTCAGTACTGTGCTCTCCTCCTCAGAATGTGCAAAGCGACCTTGCTTCAGACACTGGATGAACGGGAGAATCTGGGTGAGTTCATGGTTTCCACATTTTCCCTAGCAATCCATTGATCTTGGCTACACAGAAAGTGACATAAATATAGAAATCCATGGTTTTGCTTAGGAAGTCTTAGGAAAATGATTTACACATGCTTGGCTGTCCATATTCTTAAAGGTGGAACTAATTTGGTTATAGCAGTATTTATGCCAAAGAAATGATCGCAAAAGGATGGGTATGCCAATTGTGGGCCGATATCTTCTCCTCAAAACGATTTTGTCGTTGATGTAAGCATGGGTATAAAACACGAAAGACGAAATATCAACCATACATCAAAGGGTATCGAAAATTGACTAGGCATGATCAAACTGGAATTGTATGATAAACACAACAACCAAAATAGGAATGGGTCTGTCAATTCATATTGAACTAGAAACTAATATAGTGTTTTTCGGACTTGAGGCCTTGAGCCCGGGGAATGTGAACCACATGGTTCTTCTGTTGGATTCCAAACATGGTGAACCCAGGATTAGTGTTGACCCCTGGCTGGATGTGAGTTGGTTCACGTCCGGAAAAGCCATCGAACCAACTCAAAAATGGGTCAGCAATATAGTCAGTATAGCCGACAGGGAATCATCAAAAAATAACATTCTTTCAGCTTGGCAAATGATTGTATATGTAATCAAGAACAGATCCCATGATTCATCGGGCGTCTTTCAAAAGATCTGAAGTAATGTTCATACTATCATAATTCATACTCCTGAAATAAAACAAACCCACGGTTCCCCTGGAAACCATTTGTGTTTACCCAACATGTTGATGGTTCGATCCCAAAGTTACAAATTCTACAATATTGTGTGGCCAAAACTTAACCTATCGGCCTACCCTTTCACTTGACCCATGTTCAACCCCAAACCTACGGATTTCAAATGTTCCTTTCTATTCATTTTAAGTGTACCCTGAAGAAATTTCGGATTTTACCAAACATGGATCCAGTTCACCAATATTTGTCCAGCCGATTCTCTGGTCAGTTCACCACCCATGGATGGATCACATTCCCCTAGCCGAATAGCTGGCACTGGTCATCAAACATGGCTGACACTGGAAAAAACATATGAAAGAATCTATGGGCATTCAAAATAAATTGGGAAAATCATGTCAATGTATGGTCACTTCGGGATTTTCCAGCAAGCCATGGAGCTGATTATCAGAGGCTACTATTGATTTTACAGGCTAAACTGTGAAACTCTATAGGTGTGTTTTATCCTTCAAGCAGGTCACAACCGAGACAAACATGAAGTCGGAGCGCCTTTTTTAATCTTGGTGGTTTCAATCGGACAATGAGATTCTCATTTACCCTCTGGTAATTTAACATAGCTATTGAAAATACACCATTGATAGTTAATGTACCTATGCCAAATGCCGATGTTCATCGATTTTCTATGGCTATGTTAGTTTACCAGAGGGTAAATCAGTGATATCAACTTTATTCATCTTTAGATGTCTTGAGTCTGTTATCCATCCAAACCAGATGATCATATTAGATAATATTAGATATTCTGGGAATTACTGGGATTTGAAAAAAATGTCCCCCCTGAGTTCCAGATGGTGGATTTACCAACTGGAAAAAGCAACACCTTCAGAAAATCCAAGTATTTGGGTGCATCATATAGGCTCGGATGGAAAACAGAAGATATTTGAAATTCCGTAATCAGAGTGGCCAAGGAAAATGATGTTAACCCATGCCTCACCACGACCACCTCTGGACTTGACTGATCTTGACTGTTTCACTCAAGCTGAAGATCAGGGGGCAGTAAATACTGGTAAACGGCCCCGGGGCGATTGGAATCCTCACCGCTTGTCTCTTCCACCATGCTCACATACAGTGATCTGTCCTGAAGCAACAGTGCTACAGGGTGCAAGCCACGTGGACACCGCAAGACTTCGGCGTAAGTTGTGCTACCTGGGTGGAAGGCCAACAGCTTTCTTTGATGCCACTCAACAACATAGATTATTCCACGTTCAGTTACAAACAGGTCAGATAAGAAGATTGGGCCCTCGGTTGGGGCTCGTCCAACCACAACAGGTTTCAAGGACTCAGCTGGATTGAAGCACAAAATGCGTTTGTTTTCTGCGGGTTCAATGCGATTATCCAAAAGATAGATCACCTCTTTCTTGGTCACAAACATCCTGCCTGCTGAGAATTGCAAGTCTGCTCGAAGACTTTCAGAGGTAAGCACTGTCTGGAGCTGTGAACCAACCCACTTTTGCAGTGTTCTCCCAGCCCGGCTCAGCACATATAGCCCTCCGTTGGGAGAGCAACACAATGCGGAAGCGTCAACGTCAACAACGAAGTGTCCCGACCCATGTTCGAAACAAACGATTCTCTGATTCCACCAGTCCGCCACAAAAATCTCACTGCTGGGAGAGATGGACAGGCGACCACAAAATCCCAAGTCATTGATTCCGGTCACAGTAGCACCTTCACCCGCAACAGGTCGAACGCAGCTTGCAGGGTCACCAGGCTTCCAACAAAGAATGCTGCTCTTGCTACTGAAAGACGCAGCAAACAGTTTACCTTGGTGCCAGCACAAAGAGGTACATGGCAGAGACAGTACCACTCGTCCTGAACCTTCAATGCTGGTGGTGCTTGCACCTAGAAATGGTGACCAATGCCTGAGACAAGGCCTCTTCGGCTCAAACCCACCTGGACATCGGATTCTCTTTCTGGAGCTTAAAGCATCCTCAACTCTCTTGTGCAGGTCGTCACCATTCGGACCGGAGAGAGTTGTTACGCGAAGGTGCAGCAAATTCTCAATGGAGAGTGCTTGGAAATGCACATGTTGCAGCAGCGTGCCAAAGGCATGTCCGTCCTCGGAAAATTTGTT